CAGGTTCCATCAGGTAGCCCTGTTTCTCAAAATGTGTTAGAAATTCAAACTATTTAAAAATCTAAAGCTACTCCTTAAGGAAACATTTAAAATGAAAGAGTTCTACCACTACAAGAATTACTAAGCACTAGTAAAGTACAATTAAGCTGGTTATTGGGTTATTTTTAACATAGTAAAGTAAGTTTTATGCTAAAAAAGCTGCACTATGTTCCCAATGTCTACAAATCAGGGATAATAAAAATGTATCTCAATTTGCCAAATGAATAAACATTGTAGCTTTTAAAAAATACATAGTGGCTCTTAAAAGCAACTAATTTATACACTGAGCACTTTCTAAAGTGCAAAGCAGCTCTGCCTCTCTGTTAAGGATTTGCCATTACATGTTGCCCACTTCTGGGGACTCCAGCAATCCTCGGCCCCAGCTCTTAGCTCTACCCACAAGCTGATCAGAGGCTCAAGGGATAAAATGAAGGTGTTTCAGTCAATCTGGCAGCCCTGAGACTAGAAATCATGCCAGACCTCACTAATGGCTCTGCTTAGGTCTCCAAAGAAGACATCCTCCTTTTATCATCTCCTGCTGGCAACTCTATATTCTCCACACGTCATCTGTCCAGTCTTTGGACCTTGGCTACATCCCTCAGCAGTTTCCCCCACCCACTTCACTCCAGCGATCCATATGGTTTACCCTCCTTCTAACACTAATCTCACCTCTGTCCTTCTTATAATATCCATCTCCTCCCCACAACCATTTCTTACACCTCCACTCTCTCCCTCTCTTCCCCCCAGGAGTCCCACATCCTGTCTCCTTCCTCACCCTCCAAACACTCTAATCACCAAGCCCATGGCTTCCCAATGGAGGGTGACATTGCAAGTCACTGTCCCTTTCCCACAGCTCTCCTCTCTCGGCACTCCCTTCCTATTTCCCTCTTTCAGGTACTGTTATTCTCTAGGAACCTTCATTCTGCCCAATCCCTATCATCTAAGCAGGACCGAGTCACTGTGAGATCCTTCAGTTCTTTTCTTGGGAGTCTTCAACTACAAAGCTCCAGAAGCCACTGTTTATTCAGGTCTCTCCCATCCTCACCTAAGAGGAAGCTCTCTATGATTTAATGAGAAAGTCTTCAAATGTGACATTACCAAACTTCATCTGCAAATTAAAACATACCACATAAGAAAGAGGAGGTGGTGTTATATCACCAATTAATAGGCAGTTAATGTAGCATAGAAACAGGGTCACTTTTCTAAATAGGTACAATGGCAATTCTGCATGTTAAATATTTTTGGGCAATAGTAAATTCAACTTGCTCTATTTATAAGTCTGGCTATTAGATATTTAGGATCTCACTGATGAAAAAATACATCAAATTCACTTGACATTTCAAAGTACACACAAATGTTAAAGAGTTGCTTATTTTTATTTATCAGTTCTACTCAGTTTGCTACTATGGCCACAAGAAGAGCAACAACAGCGAACCCAGACTTTTCTGTCCAACAGATCTTCCTACAACACTTTATTGCTCACTAAGGTGTCACACCAGGTCCTTAGACAAACAGGGAACCTGTTCCTCAAAAAAAAAAAAAAAAAAAAAAAAATTTTCTTCATTCTCTCGCTGACCACCGTGAAAATGCTCCCCCACCAGGCCTAGGCAACCTCACATTCCACAAACCTGTCCCCCAAATCCTTTCCAGCCTGAGTTCTACCTCTCCAGCACCAGGCAGCTGGCTCCAGTCACACCTGCAAGGCCACTCCATCTGCCCACTTCAGGAACCTGGCCCAGAGCTCCACAGACAATTCCCTCTCCCAGTTTCAATAACAGCTGAACTTCCAACAAGTCAGATGCTCCTGGGGAGGAAAAAATTGCATTTCTGAACACCCAGCCCTGCATACTTGGTTGCAAATCAAGGATTTTTGGAAATTATTTGTTTTCTGGAAAACCACACGCTTGCAACTCTTCACGTGTTCAGCTTACTCCCCCTACCCCCAATACACCCACTCACACCAGTCCATGCGATGTATGGAACTTACAAGCACCATGGAGAAGGTGCTTGTACTTAAATTTTATCCAAACCATTTAAAATGACAGCCAACACACAGGATCACAGGCCTCATCTTCCTCTGTTCCTCCCAAACTAATATTTAGTATTTTAATAAAATAGTGAACCATACTTCAAATCTAAACTCCTTATGTACTCTTCCAAATTCTATGTACATAAACTTTAAATACCATAAAGTGCAAATTCATTTTAAAGATGGAATAAAATTATTATTCAAATAAGAGACCATCCAGAGATTGTCACATTTTTAAAACTCCTCAGCAATTTTTCAATTCAGTAAGCAAGTCTGAAATAAGCAATAAGAATATTTCAACCTCTGGGGACTTCCCTAGTGATTCAGTGGTTAAGACTCCACATTTCCAATGCAGGGGGCACGGGTTCAACCCCTGGTCAGGGGAAACTAAGACCACTGCATACCTAGTCACTTTAAGTTACAGGTGCTTTCAAATAAATACAATTTGATTTTTCAGTGTTAAAAGGAACTTAGAACATAAAACTGAGTTTAATTTAAAAAAAATTTTTTTTCTAAAGTTTGTCTGCATTTGGCTAGCACCAATCATCTTTAGTTTCTTCTATTAACTTGTATGTTATCCCTTACACCAACAATTTAGAAATAATGCCTTACAAAAAGAGAGGTGCTGCTAAATCCTAACAGTTATCTACTCATCTCACACTATAAAAATGCCAAAACCCCTTTCATGAAAAAACCCACTCCCCTCTGTCAGTATGGGCAGAGGTTCCCAGGGCCATAAGAAGTCCAGGGCGGGTGGCAGCCTCGGTGGCCCATGGACTCTTCCCTGTGCAAGAGCAGGAGATGAAGGCCAAAGGCCTGGGCTCTACCCCACTGCCTTTCTTAATCATCTCTCCTAAAGGCTCACTCCACCCCTCAAAAGTCTGAATTCTGCCTCCTCACAGAAAGTCCATTTATTTCCATGTTTGTTATGTCAACACAAACAAATAGTTCTGGCTGAATGGCAAAAATACAATTTTCTTTAAAAATCTCAAACTTCTCAGAGTAAAAATATAATAATACCCTTTGTTATGACACCAAGTTATTTGCAAATAACAAACTGCCTAATGAAGAAGCAGCTGTCAGGTCCCTATCATTGATTTCAGGTGTTCTATAGTATAAATACACACAAACAGCATTCTGGTTTGAAAAATAACATTCTTTGAAATGTTCCCATCAAGGTTTAAAGAACTGGCTGGTACAGCTTTCCAGGCTAAGCAATAACACAGCACACGTGTACAAAAGTCAAGGAATAAAGAAAGCAACAAATCTTAAGCCATCTCCAACAACCAAAAGCAGTCAAAAATTTCAGTTTGTGGAGGAAGGTTCTGCTTAGAAACAATTTAGAAGTCTCTGAAGAATAATTACCATTTCCGAGACAGCAAGCTTGTTTTTCAAGCAGACTAAAGGCTAACCTCACAAAACCAGAGAACCAAGCTGAAATGCTCTGTAGTGGGACTGATAGTTCCCCACGAAGCTCACTTAATTACACTCTATACGACCTTATAATAATCTTTAAATAATTAAATGACTTTCAAAAAAGTTATGTTGAAAGTACCTAGTTTTCCCAAAAATTTAGGGTTCAGAGCACAGATTTTAAAATTCATCATGCTTCTTCAAGAGCTTTCACTTTCTAGGCTACAAAAAACACAGTAAGAAAAAGAAGTCCTTGGCAGCTTAAGAAACACAAGCTTGAAATAATACACTACTGAAAACAGGTAAAACAAAAAGAACGTAACAGATAAGCCATCATCAGTCAAAAATATACAGAATTTTGTTTGGGGCAGTTCCACCAGCCAGACCAACGTTTCTAATCCCACTACCTACATGCTAGTTATGAAAAATATTGTGCATATTCTCAGAACTGCAGAGAACCCCAGAAAACCTCAGCCCACGTGGACAGCTGCCTGAGCCTCCAGCTTTGGGAAAGCGAGGGTGGGGGGTCCCGGGCTGGGATTGTAGTCTGCGCTTTGGTCGTGGGTACTAAGGATGAAGCCGGGACATTGGGGTCATGGACTGGGATCCTGCCAGGATGATGGAGTCAGGGTCTTGGTCTGATCGTAAGGAAAAACGAGGCCAGATGCCGAGATCTAGGTCCTGATTGTGGAGAGGATGGACAAGGGCTCGGGGTCGGAATGAGGTTTAGAGTCTCTGGGTTCTGACTGTGCCCTACTCGTGGCTAGGACCAGGCGAGGTTCGTTGGCGGGGGGCTGGGTCCTTCCTAGTAGTGGGTCGGGGTAGAGGATCGTGGGTCAGAGTGGATTGAGAGTCGGTGGTCGGGGTCCGAGTCCCGCTGGCCAGGCCGCACCCCCGCCTGCGCCCCCAGGCCCTGGCCCTGGCCCCACTCACACACGCGGCAGCTGCAGCGGCGGCGCCCCGCGCCTTTGGAACACCCCGTCCACGAACACGCCGTTCTTGCCGAGGCAGCGCAGGTAGAAGTCGCCGCCCGCGTCGGGCCCGGGCTGCGCCGACGGCTCCGGGGCCGCCCCGCCATGGCCGCCGCCGCCCGGGGGCGTGAAGATCTCGAGGTGGCGCCGCGAGATGAAGCTCGAGTGGCCCATGCTCACGTCCACCGAGCCCTGCGACGAGTTGCGCCCGATGGTCACCGAGCGCTTCTTCATCAGGTACTCGAACTCGCGGCCCTCACGGGCCGGCGCCGGGCCGGTGACTGACGGCCGTGCCCGCCTATAGGGGCGGTGCACGGCAGTGGGGCTACCGGAAGCCGACCAATAGCGAGGCACGCCGGCCTTGCGCTTGCACGTCGGCCGCGGCGCCCGACGCAGGCGCGGCTCCGGGCGGCCTGGAAAACCCGGGATGGAGTAGGGAGGCCGCGGAGCCGACGCGCGGCACCGCGGCGCGCAGTGCCGCGCGTGGGGCGAGGGCGGGAGCCGGGCTGGGGTCAAGGTCGGCGCGGGCAAGCGGCGGGGGCCCGCACGCGCCTCACCCTGCCCAGCGCTTTGCAGCTGCTGTCACGCGCGCACACTCAGGCTTGGTCGGAGCCTGCCGCGTGCTGGCAGCTGAAATCCAGGCGTTTCCACGGTTGCAGTGGCTGTGAAACCCCAGCGTGAGTGTCTGCGGGGTGGTGGGGAGGGGGAGGGGTGAGGGTCCGCAGGGAGAAGGGTGGGGAGGGTCCACGGGGTCGGAGGGAGGATCCTCGGAGAGGGTCCACGGGGACGCGGGGAGGGGTACGGGGAGGGGTGCAAGGCCAGCATCCGGGATGCCAAGGGCGCGGTGGGAGCGGGAAGCCTCGAGGGCCGCAGATCGGGCTCCGCTCACAGAGCCGGGCGCTTGGGGTTCTCTGTGTAACAACCCATTCTAAAGAAATGGAAATTAACGTATTCCTCTGAATGCGACATCGCCTGTCTCATTTGCCCTAGATGTGTTTGTGGTTATAGTACAAACCCCTGGGGGTTCACACTGCTTTGAGCCGTAAGTGTGGCAGAGTATCCTAGACAGAAAAAATGTAGTTTTCGTTGAAGTCTCATACGCGGGAGAGATTTTAGGTGGTGATGAGACAAGAATGGAAATAATAAGGGGGGAAACCTTTAAAGCACAATTGATCCAAAGAAAGAGCATCCCGTCAAGTATAAAGTAACTGACCTGAGTTAGGAGCCTGTGCCGTGTGCTGTTGAACTTACATAAGGCCGCTCACTAGAAACGTTCACCTGCTTTTCACATTTTTTTTTCATCAACACAAAGTATGCACCACGTGCAGGGACCCCAAACCGGAAGGTATGAAGAGGGTGAGCTTGTCCCATTGCACTGATGTGTCTCAAGGATGTCCCTACTATGTAGACATAAAGCTCCTTGATAAAAAGATGGACAATGCCTGGCAAGTGGAAATGGTAACTACCACACGGTTCTGAGACGGAAAGTGATTACTGACAGTGGCTCCAGATTAGAGGGGGCCTGCACCAGCTCTTCCATCCATTCTGAATGCTCAGTGAACACCTGCTGGGCACCAGGCATAGGGCAGGGTTGGACAGAGAACAGTAAGCAGGCCCTGGCTGCCACGTTCCAGCCTGTGTGAAAGAAGGCTCAAAAGGAAGCAGCACCTAACACCCATTGAGATGGAGGAGCAGTACCCAGGAGATGCTCTCAGGGTTTGGCAGCATTGCCGCTCTTTACATTGAGCCACAGAAGGCAGAGATGTGAAGGAGACATACCCGACGCAGGGCTTACAAAGCTTTGTTCTTTCATCCAGGGGCTGTGTCCATGCCGGACACAAGTGCGGGAAGACAGCACGACCACAGGACCCCGCCTGGTGAGGCACATGGAGGACCCACAGTGCACGTGTGAGCACTGACAGGCACAGCCAGGGAGCAGCACATAGAGCAGCGTGAATGGACTAAGAGGCAGGCAGGAGGGTCGGGGAGGTGGACACCTCTGCCCTGAGGCCTGAGGGACGTGAGCCAGGGCTGTAGTGACCTCTGGGCAAAGATCAAGGGCAGCAGCCCAGAGGTGGGAGGAGGCCCCTGCATGAGGGGAGAGACAGCCAGGGAGCCCTTCAGAGGCTGCTGCTCCACGAGGCCACATTCTCAGTTTCCTCACCTGCAACAAGAGCCCCGCACTGGCTGCTCTCAGAAGCCTCTTCCAGCTCAAACCCTCCATTCTGAGGAGGCTCTGGGGGCTACCCTTCTTGAAAACCCTCTTTCTAGAAGAAAAGATTCAAACAAGGCCTGACACTTGCAGTGTTTATATCCGAGCTGTCCTGACGGGGGAAAGTGCTATCAGAATAGTCTGTGATTCGGTTAATAAACCCTCCTTGCAGCATTCTCTGCATGCCAGGTACTTCCCTCAGGACTGTCTCGATACTGGCTCGGGCCATCCTCGCAATACACCTCTGACTGACAGAAGCTCTGACTGCCCACATATTACTCCTAGGAGGCGGAGAGAGGTTGACTGACTTGCCCCTTGCCAGCAGAGCCAGTCTGCCCTTCATTACATCACCAGAGAAACAAAAACGAGGCTTCCTGTGTGCCCTTCACAATAGAGCGGGTGCGTACTGACAGTAAAATCATCATGAACTTTGATACTCGTTAAGAAACAAAAATTCAGAGTAATCACCAGCACTGGACCTGGTTTCATTTAACAGGATAATATGAACAATTTGTGATGAGAAGTCCTGTGATCTTGAGAATGTAACACCGGGTTTCATAACTCTTCCTACCAAAAAACCTTCAGAAGCTCACGGTTAGACACCAGAGGGAAGCCAGACCCAGCAGTCTGTTTCCTCCCTGTCCAGCTCCTGCCCAACTTTCCCAATTCTTTCCACTACTCCCAGGTGGCCTGGAGGACCTGTGCCCACCAGCCCCTTGGCAGTGCCTGCACCCAGCTCTACCCTAACCGCCACTTGCCTGTTGATCCCTGCATTCCGCCTTTGTTCATCAGCTGCTTGTACCCAGCACCCTCCCCCCACTTATCCAATTCCTGCTTCTTGCACAAAGTATTCCAGTGCTGAGGCAACTCTGCTAGGCTCTCCAGGGCCCCAGACTTCCTAACGTGTGTTCTGTGACACTTAATAACATACTGCCTCCCTTGCATTGTTACTTACTTTCTGTACTGTTACTTTTCATGAGTTTGTGGTATATGCCTTGTCTCCCTGACTGTTACTGCAGACCTTGAGCTGTATGTCTGACTCACTCCCAGTGATGGACACTCAGCAAGAAGCTGCCTCGGGAAATCAGGCCACTCCATCCATCTGACTGGGCTGCCAGGCGCCGCTTTCATCTCTGTCCTTGACTGGGGGTAGCCTGTCCATCTCGACAAGATGGAAACAGCACTTTGAATTGCATGGGAAAAATGTACTCTACAGAGAGGAGACAAATACTCTTCTTTTGGCCAAGTTTTCAGAGGAAATATAAGGTATGTTCATTAAAATATGTCCCTGCTGATAATCAGCACTGGAAATTCAAAAGGTGTTACCTTGAATAAATGTTATTTTTCACATTTCTGACTGTCTTCTTTATAAAAAATACAAATACTATGGAGTAAATTTCATATTACCATAAACTTTTTGCTACCCAGGATTCTGAGATGAATGAAACATTCTATTTGGGGACTTCCCTGGTGATCCAGTGGTTAAGACTCTGTGCTCCCAATGCTGGGGGCCTGGGTTCCATCCCCAGTCAGGGAACTAGATCCCATGTGCCACAACTAAGATCCAGCACAGCCAAATAAATAAATAAGTTTTTAAAATATTCCATTTGATCAAACATCCTTGACTCTGAGGCAGGAATAGGACTGTTCTTATGTTCCTATCTCAGCATCACAGTAGCAAGCAGGTAGTAGGTATTCCATATATTTGTCAAACCATAGAGCTGAATTGAGGTCCACTTGGTAGAGAGACTGAAATTTATCATATGATTATATCACTTATATGTGGAATCTAATATATGACAAATGAACTTATCTGTGAAGCAGTCACAGACACAGAAAACAGACTTGTGGCTGCCAAGGAAGATGGAGGGTGGGGAGGGAAGGACTAGGAGTTTGTGATTAGCAGATGCAAACTATTTTTTTTTTCCGAACAATAAAAAAAAGAAGGAAAAAAAAAACGGAAAAGCCGGGGAAACAAAATCAAAAACCCGGAAAAAAACAAAAAGGAAAACAAGAAAAAAAAAGGAAAACCCCAAAAAAATGAAATAACAAACCGGAAAACAAAAAATAAAAAAAAGGTGGAAAAAAAACAAAACTTAAGAAAAAAAAAAAAAAGTATCATATGACTATGAAGTTTCAAATAATTGTGACACAATCACAACAACCTGACATTAACACCTTACATGTATTTTCTTGACAATTCAGGAGGCATTTCATGATCTCAGAGTGCCTATCATCATGATTATGAATACTATTTTTTTCACTGCCATGCTATATGCAGAGAAAAGAAAAAGAAAGTGAAAGTCAACTCAGTTACTCTTTGTGACCCCATGGGCTCTACAGTCCCTGGGATGGGGATATTCCCAACCCAGGGATCGAACCCAGGTCTCCCACATTGCAGATGGATTCTTTACCAGCTGAGCCACCAGAGAAACCTAAGAATACTGGAATGGGTAGTCTATCCCTTCTCCAGGGGATCTTCCCCACCCAGAGATTGAACCCAGGTCTCCCGCATGGCAGATGGATTCCTTACCAGCTGAGCTACCAGGGAAACCTAAGAATACTAGAATGGGTAGCCTGTCCCTTCTTCAGGGGATCTTCCTGACCCAGGGATCAAACCGGGTTCTGTTGCATTGCAGGCAGATTCTTTACTAGCTGAGCTATCAGGGAAGCCCCTATATGCAGAGAAGAACCTGCCAACTTGAAGTTCATCCTGATTGGTTTAGTTAACTATTGGTACAGATCACTAAACAAAAGTAATGTATTCTTTAATATTGATCTGCTAAGTTTGTTATATAGCCCAGTTGGTCCATAGAATGAATATTATCCCACTCAAATCCCTAGTTGGCTTGCTTGTAGGAACTGACAAGCTGATTCTGATATTTATATAGAAGTGCAAAGGATCAAGATGATCTTGAAAAAGAAGAACTAAGTTTGAAGGACTTATGGCTACATTAATAGAAATTAAAGCTATAGTAACGAAGTGAATATGACGTGCCTTTTCTAATTCAGCTTTTAACAAAAAGCTAATAAAATACAGTGTAGCTATAGTTTTCAAATCAACATAAAGCTATACTAATCAAAATTGTGTGGCATTGGTATAAGAGTAGACAGACCAGTGGAACACAATAAAAAGTCCAGAAATAGACCTCCACATATAAAGTCAATTGATTTTAACAGAGGTGCCAAAATTACTCTGTAGGGAAAGGGCAATGTGATATAATAAATATATACTTGGTCTCTGCCCCTGGTTCCTGACACAGAGCTCTTAAATCCCTTGGAATTTCCTGGGTATAGGAGCATCTTTTGTTGTAATGAAGCAACTCTGGATGAGCTTATGGATGGGGGCCGGTCACCAGAAAGACCAAGCCAGCATTAGACGCAGAAGTTTTAGCCCCACCACTATCCTCTGGGAGAGGGACTGAAGATTGTTAACCAAAGATGACTATATAATGAAACTTCCATAAAAGTCTCTAAATTATGGGATTCAGAGAGCTCCCAGGTCAGTGAATACATGCATGTGCCAGGAGAGTGGTACTCTGGTCCCACATGGGCAAAAGCTCCATTGAAGACCGTTCTGGGCTATATCCCTTGTATCTCCTCATCTGGCTGTTAAGCTGTATCCTTTAGAATGTCCCTATAATAAGTCCATCAACGTAACTATTTCCCTGGGTTTTGTGAGCCATTTTATCAAATTACTGAACCTAAGAGGGTCGTGGGAATGCCTGTTTGTAGCCACGTGGGATAGAAGTGTTTAAGTACAGGTACCCTGTGGGCCTACTACTTACAATTGGTGTCTGAAGTGGGGACAGTCTTGTGGGATGGGGCCCTCAACCTGTGGGGTCTGCAGTAACTCCAGGTAGTTCCTGTGAGAACTGAATTAAATTGTAGGTGGCCCACCTGGCGTCCCGGAGAAGGCAATGGCACCCCACTCCAGTACTCTTGCCTGGAAAATCCCATGGACAGAGGAGCCTGGTAGACTGCAGTCCATGGCGTCACTAAGAGTCGGACACGACTGAGCAACTTCACTTTCACTTTTCACTTTCATGCATTGGAGAAGGAAATGGCAACCCACTCCAGTGTTCTTGCCTGGAGAATCCCAGGGACGGGGGAGCCTGGTGGGCTGCCGTCTATGGGGTTGCACAGAGTCGGACATGACTGAAGCGACTTAGCAGCAGCAGCAGCACCTCGAGTCCACAGAGAACTGGAAATTGCTTGGTATGGAAAATCCACACATCTGGTGTCAGAAGTGTTGTGTGTAGAGAAAGTTTTTCTTTAGGAAGTCTACTCAATAAACTGCTGGAACAACTAGATAAATAATCATCATAATCACAAATGAGAAATCTGTATCTTTCACCACACAGAAAAATTAATTTGAGATAGATCATAGAGCTGTATGTAAAAGCTGAAACTATCAAGCTTCCAAAAAGGAAACAGGAAACTATCCTTGTGTCTTTTGGGTCACAGGACCCCAGAAGTGAAAACCATAAAAGGAAAAAAATTGATAAAAGTTATGAAAAAATAAATAGGCAAGAGTCTTGAACAGCTACTTCACAAGAGAAGATATGTGAATGATCCATATACTCAAGGAGAGATGTTTGATATCACTAGTCATCAGGGAAATGCAAATTAAAACCACAAGAATACTGGAAGAATGGCTAAAATTAATAAAACCAACCTTACCAAGTGTAGGCAATGATGTGAAGCAATGCAAACTCTCCTACACTGTCAGTGGTAATATAGGTGGTACCATCACTGCAAAATAGTCTGGCAGCTTCTTATTAAGACTCTGAGTTTCCAATGCAAGCAGTATGGATTCAATCCCTGGTTAGAAACTAAGATCCCACATGCCACATGGAGTGGCCTATAAACAAGTTTTTAAAAAATGATTATTACTTATTACTGTTTTTTTATTATGCTTATTACTGTTTTTTTATTATGGTAAAGGGCAGGATCCTAAGCAGTGGGAGTAGCTCATGTGAACATACTGAGTGGGTATTGTTCTGCGCCTTTCCTGGTGAGTAGGTGGAAGATCAACCCTGATCATTTTCCTTATTAATACATAAAGTATTGATTAATTAGAGAATGAACGATAGAGAATTATAAAGTGAAGAAGAAAATGTTAGTCGCTCAGTTGTGTCTGACTCTTTATGATCCTGTGGGCTGTCCATGGAATTCTTCTCCAAGCAAGAATACTGGAGTGGGTTGCCATTCCCTTCTCCAGGGGATCTTCCTGACCTGATCTTCCTTCCTGATCAACAGGAAAGGCCCAGAACAACACTCACTAAACTGCTCACATGAGTTACTCCCACTTACTAGGATTCTGCCCTTTTCCATTATAAAAAAGAATAATAAACATGTCTCACCTTTTTAACTTTTTTTTTGTCACACCCGGGGTTGAACCCAGGTCTCCTGCATTGCAGGCACATTCTTTACCGTCTGAGCCACCAGGGAAGAGAATGAATGATAAAGAATGATAAAGTGCCTGTGTCCCCTGCATTGGAAGCTCAGAGTCTTAACCACTGGACCACTAGGGAAGTCCCACATGTTTCACTTTCATAATTGCAATTTTAAAATACAATTAAGGTGGGAAAACATAAGTAGATCACTTGAAAACTGGCAAAATGTTTTAAACTCCCATTTGATTTTTGGAAAGAATGAGTTTATAGGCGAATGATACATTGCTAGTTGAATTTCATTCATCATCAAGAGCTTCAGAGATAAATCTTATAATACCAATTTAAAAAAGAAAATACTGAAAATACCCTTAAATTTACTGATATTAACTGGGATAGAAAGTATGTTTCTAATCCTCACCACCAAAAGCTCTTCTCCAAAGACCTCCCTTAGGTGATCTGGAAACTGGTTGGGGCTGTATTAATACTTTATGTATTAATTATTAATCCTTATTAATACATAAAGTCCTACACACACACACCACAGACCCCTACCACATAAGTGTAGCTCTAGCCATTCCATCCCTAGGTATTTACCCAAGAGAGAAGAAAGCAGATGCCTGCAAAATTGCTTATTTAAGAATGTTCATAACAGCTCTATTCATAACAACCAAAGGCTGAAACAACACAAGCGCCTTTAACAGGCAAGTAAGAAACAAATGGAGGGGGTGAGCACAGTGGGACAGGGGTGCCTCCCGGATTCCAGGGAGGTGGTGCAGGCTCTCTTAAGCCCTTCTGTGCTTCCTCGTACCAGCATTTTGTGGAAAGTGTTTTGAGTTTCCACAGAAAGGTCATTCAAATAGAGCAAAGCTGGGAGTGTGGTATCTTCAGAGCCAGATGTTCCAGGTGCAGGAATTTACAAGTTACCAGCACAGTTGTGCTTGGTTGATTCCTGCAGGGTTCAAAATGGAAATCGACACAGTTCTGTAATGTACATGAGTGGCAGCCAGCTGAATATACTAGGACACCCACACATTAAAGAAATGAAGGGGTGACTCTGCCCAGGTGTGGTAATGGGGATGTGTGTGCCCCATAGTCAGGGCTGATCTACCACCTGCTCACCAGGAAAGGCCTAGAACAACCCTCACTCAGCTGCTCACATGAGATACTTCCACTTATTAGGATTCTGCCCTTTTCCCTAATAAAAGAGAATAAACATGTCTCACTTTTTTAAACTTTTTTTTTGCCACATTGCACGGCATGTGGGATCTTAGTTTACCAACCAGGGATTGAACCCACAACCCCTGCATTGGAAGCTCAGAGTCTTAACCACTGGACCAATAGAGAAGTCTCACATGTCTCACTAATGTAACTGCAACTTAAAATTACATTTTCATTAGAGCACCTAAAAATTGATAAAATGTTTTAAACTCCATCTGATTTTTGGAAATTGAATTTTATAGGTGAAAAATAAACACATTCCTAGTTGAATTGCATTCTTTAAAAAAATGAGAGCCTCAGAGATAAATCTTATAATACCAATTTAAAAAAGAAAATTCTGAAAATACCCTTAAATTTATTGGTATTAACTGGACCTGAAAGTGTGTTTCTAATCCTCCTCCACCAAAATCTCTTCTCCAAAGGCCTCCCTTAGGTGATTTGGAAACTGGGGAGGCATGATCACTCTGTACGCCTAGGGCAGAAAGCAGGTCTGTGGGTGTGTCCCTATGTAATTCTTCACACATATCATAGAAACCTTACATATTTGTCTATGTGTACAGTACTTACCTCCTGGATTAAGGCAATGGTTCTGGAAAGACAGCCCTCAGAATGTGCCCTGGGATAGGTGGCCCTGCACAGGCTGTCCCCTGTGCCTCTGTGGTCTAAGCCATATTTCCCAAAGTTTGAAAAAAACACCAAGGACAGCCTGGAAGCAGGAGATGAAGGTATGAGGCTCATGCCCCTTGTAGTGACCAGTGTCCCAGGGCCAGCCAGGTCAGTTGCCCTTAGCATCATCTCCAGTCAAGGATGTTGCTGCTGCTGCTGCTAAGTCGCTTCAGTCATGTCTGACTCTGTGCGACCCCATAGACGGCAGCCCACCAGGCTCTGGTGTCCCTGGGATTCTCCAGGTAAGAACACTGGAGTGGGTTGCCATTTCCTTCTCCAGTGCATGAAAGTGAAAAGTGAAAGTGAAGTTGCTCAGTTGTATCCAACTCTTCGCAACCCCATGGACTTCAGCCTACCAGGATCCTCCGTCCATGGGATTTTCCAGGCAAGAGTACTGGAGTGGGTTGCCATTGCCTTCTACAGTCAAGGACATTAGCGTCCCCCAAAACACAGAAATGGGCAAAACACAGTAGGACAGAAAATTCAATAGCTAAAGGCTGTTTCTGAATAAAGGAGCTTCTATTGCCTTGACTCAGGGGACCTAGCTCCAGCCCCACTCCACCTGGGCTGTAGCTTCTTAGTGTTTGTCTAAGTATCCCTGGTCCTCTCATTGCCTGAGTTCTAAACCTCTGGGCAAACTTTGATTCATGGGCTACTCATTGCCCACTCATGCATTCACTTTTTCATTCATTCATTCACTAGCTTGTTCACTCATCAAACATTCCTCATGCTGGGCCCAGTGCTGGATGCCCTGACCCACAGGGAGCAAAGGGGACACAGGCCCTGCCTTCATTAGTCCAGGAAAGGGAGGCAGCCTTGATTCAGCACTCCTCACCTGGACCAGCAACCCAAATTCCCTCACACACGGTCAGCCCCCTTCCCCGGTTCCCCTCCCCTCACTTGCTCACCAAGCTACCCGAATGGAAGACCCTGCTCCCATGGCGCCTCCATCAGCCACCCCAGCCACCTGCCACACAGAACTGCTCCTCCCTTGGACCTGCTTCATACCCACCTGGTTCTCAGCTCGCAGTCTGGGACAGTCATTATACACATTATTCCAACAGGATTCTGAGCTTGGAGGTGGAGCTCCTGATTAGCACTGGCCTGATGCAGAGTAAGTTTTGGAAAGTGACATAATGAGTGAATGATTATATTCCAATCAGTTACTGTCCATTGGCCCAGGCAGAAAACTTCTCTGAGCCTTTGGATTGAAACACCGAGGACCAAGATGAAAACCTTGCCTCATCCTGCTGGCCCTAGGTTAGGGATGAGAAATTGAGAGGAAGCAGGCAGTCAGAACATGGGCATGGAAGCTGATGCAACTCTTTTGTAGAGAATTCAGATGGCAAAAATCAAAGTTAAACATGTCAATTCAACATCAATGCAGAGCTGCATCCACAGGAGACACTATGCTTCATTTAGGAAATAAAAAGATGAGACACAAGCCCTGCCTCTACACAAATCTAATACCACAATTGTTAAAAGTGGGCGAAGAAGATTTCTTATGTTGGATAGTGAGCTACAGAGAAGTTAAGGAGGGGCTGGAGGAAACCACGTGTTTCCGGACTAGAGCTGGAAACATCAGTATGAACTCATTTCAACCTTCATATGACACAGCAAAAGGGCCTGAAGAAATTAATTTTCCTGTGGTGGAGCTCCTTACTCATTCACCAATAAATCACTGGATGTGGTATATGATTATTTCATTACATAGTCACGAAGCTCAGTACTTGTAGGGGCAATAAGAAATGTATTTGAGTTGCACTTGTTGCCTTAAATTCAGATTAACTTAGTATACTTTTAAAGAATTACTGACCATATAAAAATTCAAACAGAAGGAAGTATCTTACTGGAAAGAAGGAAAAAAGGGGAGAAAAAACTAAAAGAAAAAGTCTAGCAGAAATTTCAAAATATCAAAAAGTATACCACAATGGAAACTAAAAACTATAATGATAAAAATCATGGAAGAATCATTATAGCCAAGAAAATATGGGTAATAAAAATGACAACACAGAGATGAAAGGTATTATGAGAGTCAGAACACTTCTTAACAGGAAGCAAAAAAAAAAAAAAAACCAAGAAAAAAAAAAGCAGAAGGAAGAAGATGGTAACAGAAAGGAAAACCACAACCCTCCAGTCAGCAGGACACACCAGGTGGCCCCACCCACTGATTATCTACTTCATTGATTACTGTGATGCTTCACTAAACCTGTTAGAATGAACAATAATTCCCTCAACTCTGTTTAATGAAAAATCTGTTTGTTCAAAATTGTAATCCCATTTACAAAGAATCAAGGTACAATGGACAAAAAAAGATACTTCTTGAAACATTTTGAAAGAGTTATTTTTTAACAGGAAATCTGTTACATGATATTGGCTAGCCTATTCCAAGACTAAACATTGCCTGTATTGTTTTGCATTACAGTTTTCAACAAGACAGATCACTTACATCAGACTTTCATTTTAGTGAATATCTTTAGAACTGTCAAAACTCATGGACTGCACACAGCATATAAGCATGCTTACTTGAATATTGTGTCTGACTCTGCAACCCCATGAACTGCAGCTAGCCAGGCTCCTCTGACCATGGAATTTTCCAGGCAAGAGTACTGGAGTGGGTTGCCATTTCTTCCTCTAGGAGATCTTCCCCATCCAGGGATCAAACCCTCTCCTCCTGTTGTCTCCTGGATTGGCAGGCAGATTCTTTATCACTGAGCCACCTTGGAAATCCATGTTTGGCCACACACCAATCACATTAAGAACAGAGTAGGCTCCTTCTGCTAGGAGGGCAGAAACACACCTGATCCAATTATTTTAGATGAGTAAAGCAAACATGGAAAGCATTTTCCATTTCTTCCTGATCTGACATGAAATATAGATCATGGAATACATGACACAAAGCTCCTAACAAGCCACTGTTAGGAGGCCACCACGGATTAGAGATGGATCGTTGGCTCCAAACACAGGATGAAAGTGAAAGTGAAGTCGCTCAGTCGCGTCCGACTCTTTGCGACCCCATGGACTGTAGCCCGCCAGGCTCCTCAGTCCATGGAATTTTCCAGGCAAGAGTACTGGAGTGGGTTGCCATTTCCTTCTCCAGGGGATCTTCCCAACCCAGGAATCGAACCCGGGTCTCCCACACTGCGGGCAGACACTTTACCGTCTGAGCCACCGATAGGTTTGGCCAAATCTGAGGGCAACCCTAAAAGAATAGTAACATTACCAAAGGAAGGCAAGACTAACAATCTTTTCAAAACTACTACTAAGAGAAAAATTTGATTACCCCTGCTCAAAAGTGAATTATCTTTCTGTTTATCCTGTACAAACAGTATTACCAAATTATTTCCGTATGAAGGCGTAATTAAGGTCTGCAATTTAAAAATTGAAAAAAAAAAAAATGAGGCGTGTTAGGCAGTTAGAGAAAAGCTTTGTGCTTTGTTTGAAGTTTGTGATATTAATCAGCTGTGTATAATTGACTTTTCTTATTCTAATCAACATTCACCTTCGTATCTAATTTCGCATTCTTCTTAAAAAAGGGAGCTCCAAACCGCACTAACTGGAGACCCCACCCATCCTGGGCCCTGCGGGGAGCGGGACACCTGGACCCCGACCCAGAGCCCGCAGGGTCTACATGGCCCGGGCGTCTATCAGCGCGTCCCCGCGGAGGGGCAGCTCCGGACGGCAAGCTGTCTAACGTGCGGCACGCAGGGTACCCTTACCCACGCCGCAAGCTGCGAAACACACACATCCCACGCGGGAACGCGGGAGCGCGGCGTCGCACGCAGACGTCCTCAGGACACGTGACTGCCCAGCCACATGACCGCTCCCACGTGACCGCTCCCACAGGACCGCCGGCGCCGCCGTGAGGGAGAAGCCTGGTTCTGTCGAGACCCGGCGCGATCCCGGCCTAATCCGTGGGCGGGCGCACGCCGTCCGCCGCTTCAGTCGCGGACAAGTGGAGCGGGTGCCGGGCTTGGCCGTGGGCCCAGGGTCACGGGTCGACAGGGCTTTAGGCCGAAAGCGAGGCGGCCTCCTCCCCAGCTCTTTCGCTTTGCTCCTACGCTCTCACTTCTCGGGTGTGCTGAGGAAATACACAGGCGCTGTCACGCCTTTCTAGGGCACTGCCTCTGGGCGGTGAGGTACTGAAAAGAGAAATCCTTTCCCAAGAGCAGAATCCTGTCACTGTAAAGCCCCCTGGTTTGCCGGGAGCGGTGTTGTGTAGGGTGTGGTGAAGATAGTGGGGGTCCCGAAGGGAAAGCAGATTAAGTCCAGGTGCGAACTTAGGGTCTGTTCCAACGTGGCCTAGCTCTTAGGTGGCTGGCTGCCCGCTCTGTCCGCAGCCAACATTGGGATGGAGGCTTGGTCACTAAAACTTGTACGTGGGAGTCAGCCAAGGCAAGCTTGGTGGGAAACTCTATGTTGTTTCCCTGTCTCCACAGCCAGTTCAGTCCAACGGTGAAACATCAGCAGGATGGCTGAAAAGAGTCTAACAGACATCTGCAGACTAGCTAGGCAACCTGGGTCAGCCTTTCCTACAGTAGACACCTTTGGAAGAGGTTTCGCGTGGAACATGAATCTTCTCAAATTCTGCACCCATTCGGAGAAGTCCCTCCGCACATGTCATCAGAAAGCTCTTTGACCCCAGTCCTCCAATCTGGTTTTGTCTAAGCCCTGCCCCGGGCATTGATGAGATGTGCGGCCCAGAGGCTACCTTTTTCCCTCCGATGTACCTATGTAGTTAGATTTATCTGGCTCAAACAATATCCTAGATGCTTTGGGCGTGATATCCCTTTGGAAGCTAAAAAATTATACAAATGAACTTATTTACAAGACAGACACAGACTCACAGACATAGAATGAATGAATGAATTTATGGTTACCAGAGGAGAAGGGAGAGGGGGGGAGAGATACTTAGGGAGTTAGGGACTGACATGTATGCACTGCTATATTTAAAAGGGATAACCAACAAGAACCTACTACTGTATATATAGCTCAGGAACTCTGCTCAATATTATGTAACAATGTAAATGAGAAAAGAATTTGGAAAAGGATAGATACATGATTATGTATAAAAGAATCACTTTGAGGTATACACTATACTCCAACATAAAATAAGAAGTTAAAAAAAAAATAGTTCCAATCCTTTGATTGGTGTGGTGCTCAGAGTTTGGCCATAGAATTCCAGTAGTTTCAGTCTCTGTATTTCTTTTTCCTGTTGATTCTGTTGGTGTAAGAAAGGAGACAGCTTACTATCTGCAACAGTAAGCTTCATGGACAGTTCTTACATGAAAAGTTTCAACACAAATTCAAAGATTCCCCCCCACCAAAGGATTTATATTCAGAATATTCTTGGGAGAACAGTTTTTACCTCTTCAAAATGCAAAGTTATTTTTAATGTTTTGCTTTGAATTAGAAAGCTGAACAGCAAGATTTTGTAACACTTTAAGCAGTTTCATATGAAAGAAACAGCTTCCTTGGCTATGGGGGAAGAAGTAGGTCAAGAGAAGAAACTGGATTAAAAGGAAAGTTACTGACAATTGGACAGATTAGGAACCTTTCAAATGATGGAGAGAAATGCTGCTTTTGCTCTCTTCTGAAATCCAGCCAGCATCACCGCAATACAAATCCTGCTACCATCGTCCAAGGACACTCTGGGTAAAGATTGTGCTGCTTGACATTTACTAAACAGCAGAAAAGGTCAGAAATTTCTCTTGATAAGCAGTTGAGGGAGGGAGAGCAAAAATCCACTTTATGAATATGGGCACTGGCAGGAGGGTCCTTCCCTGAGTCCAGTTTCGTCTGCTGGTCTGCGCCCAGGGAAGCTTGGGGTAGTCAGAGGCAGACTCAGGAAGGGAGTACATTACAGCAGAGTGGCGCAGCGGGAGCGTGCTGGGCCCATAACCCAGAGGTCGATGGATCGAAACCATCCTCTGCTATAAGCTCACATTTTTGCCTTCTATATGGCTTTTGTGTCCCCAGCTGTGGGACAAGGTTGGGCTGTGGACCCTGGTGTCCAGGGGTGACAGCTAGTTCTATGGCGTCACCATCAGCGCTCTGGACTCTGAATCCAGAGATATGTCGAAATCTTAATGGGACCTGTGTACCCCTCTTGTCCCATCCCAGGGGCACTTAGGCCAAGAGTGGCCTGCAAGGGGACATGGTGGCATATGGTTCTATGGTGTAATGGTTAGCACTCTGGACTTTGAATCCAGCGATCCGAGTTCAAATCTCGGTAGAACCTGTTTTGCCTGTGGCCATTTTTGTCTTCCCCTCTTGTGTCCCAGGCACTGGGACACAGGGACATGGTCTGGCACAGGACAGGCAGCAACTCTGAGACCCTGGTCTATCTGATCGCCAGTGCTCCCCTTCCCCCAGAAGCCACATTAGGGATGTCTTTGTTCTTTTTAATGTCCTCCCTGCCCAGTTTGACTTTTTCTTTTTTTTAAAGGACCAGGGGAATTCCCCAGAAGTCCAGCTGCTGGGACTCTGAATTTTCACTGCCAAGGGCCCAGGTTCGATTCCCTGGTTAGGGAACTAGATCCCACAGGTCGTGCCATGTGGCCAAAAAGTAAAAAGTAAAATAAAAGAGACCAAAGGAGCTAATACTCTTGTCCTGAGATGGCTCATCATGCACCCTTTAACCTCTGGAATCCCACGTCAGGACAATTACTTAACCTTCTCCACTGGTGAGCTTTCAGTGCAGGCTGTTTACTCTTTGTACACACACAGAAAAGTGTCCTTTCAGGTACTGCCCACGTGGCACCTGGGTGGCTAGGGAAGAACATCATGCCTAGAACTTTTCATGAAGCGTGTAAGAAATGTCTACATAGATCTGATTTAAAAGCAAGTCTTTACAAGGAGACAGGAAGATAGTTTTTCCTTGAATAAATCCAGGTTTTTTGCAGCTTCAGCGTAGCTTTAGAAATACTAGTATGTCTCATACAATTTACTACTTGCATGACTCACTAAGAGTAACTACACTTCACCCTTAGAACTGTGCGTACAAGTTCTTTCATCAAGATTTTGGAAACGTCCACATAAAACTAATGTGGAACACTTCTTACAGGGACATGGAAAAGAAGATACTGTTTTTCTCAATTAAAAAGCCAGGCTTTCCATAGCTTCGTAAGTAGTAGCCTTCAATGAGTGCCTGGTTCTTTATCCAATACAGTATACCTATGACTCAAAAACACCGAAGACAAAAAAAAAAAAAATCCCCAAACACATGATTTATCCTTATTCAAAGTCCAGGGGCCTCTGCCCAAATTTGAGGCCAGGTCCTTTACTTCCCTGAGCATCAGAGTTGAGGGTTCACTTGCTTTAGACGGACTCTATGCTTGCTGTTACTAATCAGGAGAAAGGCCAGTGCCTGTGTGGAAGGAGGTGGCGTGTTAAGTGCCAAGGTTGGGCCCGAGGTGGGAGCCCACATTTGGTGGCCAAGTGGCCTGTGCATTGCCTGCCTGAGCTGCAGTCCCCTCGCCTAATGCATCTGACTAGACTGTGAGGACCTGAGATCTCACTGCAGGCGGTGTGTCCAGAGGCTTCTGTTGCTCAGCTTTGGGCCAGCAGGTGAGGCCACAGAACACCTTTACGTCAGTGGCAGAGCTTAAGAGCCTCTAGACAGGCAGTGCCCTTGCTCCACACCCAAGGTCAGCAGCAAACTGATGTGTGAGCAGTACATGAACTCCAATCCTCACTCCAGCAGGGGTGCGAAGGAAGGACCAGCATGTACACTGGCTACAACTGGCCTAAGCTCAGAGGCGAGGCAGAAATGGAACTGAGAAATCTGGATTCTGAGAAGTTGGTCCAGGGCAAGGGCACCAGACAGCAGCTACTTGCCAGGATGTCCAAAACACACACACACAGGTAACCCGTGACACCAGAACTCAGGCAACAGCACTCCTGGAGGGCAGCTGCTGCGTGTGGTGCAAATCTGGACCTAGTCTATCCCCTTCCTCATGCCAGCACAGCTTTGCTCACTAACAGACAGCCCCTGCACCCAACCCTAGCCCGACTGTAGGGCTGCCTCTCACTGACTGCTCGTATAATTTGAGTTATAATGAAGGAAAACAAACCCTTGTCCTACTTTCCTCTCACGCAGCCATAACCAAAGGTGAGCTGCAGTTAGGACCTGACACCACATGTGAGAATACCCGGTCCCCTGGCCAAGGAGTGCCTTCGTTTTAGCCAGAAGAGGTGGCTTTTGAGGCAAGAAGAGCCCACTCCGACTCCTGGCATCCCCCGCCCACAGAAGGCTTCAGGCAAAGATGGCCCTTTGGGGCTGTGCTGGCTCCGAAAGCACGAGGGAGGTCGCCTGGGGGGTGCTGGTGAGGGAGGGCACACACAGGCCCCAGACTGGGGAGTAAGTGTCTGGTTCACACACTCTCCACATTCAGACACTCCTGAAGTGTTTATTCCATCATCAGTTACTGCAGAAGAGAGAAATCCAATTATACATAGGTTGAAAGCAAAAAATATACAATTTCACACAATATATCCAGTTTTCAACCCCAATAGGCATACAGGTACAATACAACATAGAGTCAATGAAGGAAATCTGACAGTTCAGGCTTTATAAGCACTGAGGAATCCAAGAACGTCGCTGCCATCCACGTTAACAAAATTCAAGTGCTTTGAAGAACCAACTGGAGGCCTGTCCACAGATGTCTTTCGTTTCACAGGATGAGCCCTGATATGGAGTTTTGTGATTCTGTAATTTCCAATTCTTTGCTAGCCCTTTCTGTTTATAGGAAAACTGTTCTCTTCCATTTATCTTTAAGGCGAGCTCACACGAGCACTACATGCCAGATTGGGGGGGGTCCCATCAGGAGCCATGTGGATAAGCCAGGCCCACAGTATGTGAGGATGATGGCGGGGGCGGGTGGGGAGAGGCAAGACCATCGAGAAGCTGCCTCATCTGAGGTTGGGGACAGAATGGCTGTCACCTGTCTGATCCCACCCAGAGAAGAACGAAGCAGGCGGACTCCTGACCAGTCTGGCCTAAGCAGGTCAGCTGCCTCTCCCGTCCTTCCATATGTAACACCTGTCACCCTTCGCAGGCCTCCCTCTGCCTCGAGGTGAGCTCACCTAAAGACTGAATGTGAAAGCATGAGTTTGGGGTATAAGCGGCCAGAGCCTGCCGGGCCCACAGTTAGACGGGCTGGTCCCAGGAGGCGGCTGCCACTGCATTCCGGCCACTGCGGCAGTGAGAAACACGGCCCACTGTTGCTAAAACTTTTCTCTAGAGAAACTGAAAACCCAGATTCATATGAGCCCCCCAATTCCAAAAGGATGCAGTTTATTCAAATTTTGGCAAAACCATTCTCAGGAATAAAAAACATGGTTTGTAAAAACAACAGCCAACTGGGAAGACCACAGACCATGGCCCACAACCCCCGCAGCCTGCCTGCTTCCTGTCATTGCCACATCAAATCTCTCTGGGGCATGTGAATCACAACTTCTGGGGTCTTAACTCTTCATAGGACACTTTTTGGATTTTTTTTTTTAAGCCTGAAAGACAGTAGTCTGTCTCCATTCTTGTTCTTTGGAATATTTTAGTCTTAAAGGAAACTCAAAATTGGGGCAACTCTTCTCTCCTGTTAAAATATTCCAATTACACACATATTACGAAGATAGCACCACATCGAACTGAGGGAGGGGGCTGCTGACAAATGGGGGTAGCAGAGGATTCTGAAAAACCAAAGTGGTAAAAGGAAAGCTGAGCTGTTTTCTTTTAGTGTCTCTGATACCCACACAGGGTAGCTCCTCCGTCCTCAGGCAGCTGATAGGCCCGCCTCCCAGTCTCCTCGATCTTCACCACTTGATGTCTCGGCTGTCAGTGGGCTGCCCTGGGCCCTGGTACGCAGTGTGCAGGGCTTCCTGGACACGGGGGGAGTCGGTGCCGTCCAGCCACTCCTGGTACAACTCCTGCACATGGGTGCTGGCCTCTGGGAGCTGCACGGGGATGTCAGCGTAGATGCCTTTCATCTTCTGCAGCAAGGCCTTGTCTGTGCGCCCATCTGCGGTCTGGGCTTGGCCTCTGCCATTAAGGCATCCTGAAAAACACAGGGCACTTACTCTTCCCCTGCTTTCATCTTAAAGGGGAGATGATTCTGGAATAGCAGAGCGATGATGGCAGTGTGCAGTGTCTTGTGGCCAAAGCTTGGGCACAGGCTCACAACCCCAGGTGCTTCCTATTCTCTCCTCTTTATACTACCCAGGAAATGTTTTTACCTAAAGCTGAAATTACTTGGCAACCTTTTAGAACTGGATGGCTATGCATGCCCATCTGGATTTCCAGTTTCTCTTAGAATTCATCACAGGAGAGCACAGAAAGTATTAATGAACAGCTAAATCACTGGTGTCTGCATAAAGCTTTAGTGTGTGAGTCCACATGTGGGCTGCATCAGGGAGAGACGGGGGCTGGGGACCCATGAACCACACAGGAGCCCAAACCCACACCCAAACACCTCGGACTGAATGAAGAACATGCCTTCTACATACTAGTGCTGTACATGTGTGCATGTGTGCTAAGTTGCTTCAGTCATGTCCAACTCTTTGTGACACTATGGTCTGTAGCCCACCAGGCTCCTCTGTCCATGGGATTCTCTAGGCAAGAACACTGGAGTGGGGTGCCATGCCCTCCTCCAGGGGGATCTTCCTGACCCAGGGATTGAACCCGAGTCTCTCACGTCTCCTGCACTGGCAGGTGGGTTCTTTACCACTAGCGCCACCTGTGCTACTTATTCTCAAACACGTAGATAATGTGATTTCTAAGATAAAAATTCATTTAAAAGAACTTGCAGCAAATTTCCCAACCTCCCTACCCCTACCCCTTGGCAGCACCCAACGGTCACCCTCTGGCCCTCACATCTCACTCCTCATTTCCCACAGGGCTCAGAGGGGCCCAGCTCAGCCTGGCCTCTTGAGTCTTACCACCAGCACAGGCGAGAACCTCCACAAAGTGGTACGGGAACTTGCCCTTCTTCAGCTTTAGGACCACGTTCTGGATGTTTCGAAAGCCATAAGCTGCAGCAAAGCGCAAGAGGACCTCTCCGCTCTTCTCAAGGGTGACCTCCTGGAAGTCTTTGTTTCTATGAAATCAACAATACAAACTATGACCCACAGGGTCCTTCCTCTGTGGTCAGAGAACTATTTCTAAGTTAGGGATGTTAGCAAAATTAAGTCTGTGAGTAACACATCAAAGACCTTTCCATCTTGACTGGTGTGAATTCTGTAAATAGGATCTCCCCTCTCAGACCTGTAGCTGGCTGTAGGGGGCGGGGGGTCCTATTATAGAGTTTACACCTGATAGGCAGTGCTGACCACACAGGCAGACGGACAGAGGCCGCCCCAGCCCCACGCACCTCAGGGCCCGGTAGGTGACCTCCCCCACGTCCTCGTTGAACAGCTCCTTGGCCGCATGTCTGAAGATGTGTGCCAGGTACCCGTCAGAGCCGGCTCCATCATGGCGCCTCAGCTCCTCCTCCTTCACGTCACCAAACCTCACCAGGCAGGAAAAGCGAGGGCAAAAGTTAAATCCGACTCTCCAAGTTTTATGATCCAAGGTCGCAAAACCCTTTGTAAGTACTTAGACTTAGGGCAAAAACCTCCTCTGTGCTGGAGTTCACTGGCCAACAGGATGCCTGCAGGTGTGCCCACCACTGCCCAAGTGACTCCTCTGAGTGCGCAGGCATCAAGGCTTGACCCTGAGAACCTCACAACTCGGGGCATGAGAACTGGGCATCTGCGGGCCACACAAGAGAGCATGCCGCCATCTGTGGCCAGCCAGGAGGAGGCCTCTGGGTCCGCTTAGGCCCAAGCATGGGCTCTGGCCGTAAGGACGCCAGCTGCTTGTTCTAAGGACCTCAGTCCACCTTCCACACCAGGGCCACATGTGGTCCTGACATCACTGCTTGGAGGACCTGCCATGCAGTCCGTGCCCTGAGGCACAGGATCCTGCAGGGATGCGGTTGGTGGTTGGGGCGACCACTGATGGCAGAAACCCAGGTTGCTCCTCTTGGGCAAACGGACCTCAAGGAGCCACTGTGTGGGGGTGCCGCCTCCATCCCCCGTGAGATTCTGCCTCTATCCCTCGGTAGGTCCAGGTGTGATGTCAGGAACATGTTAAGTTCAGAAAGGAGGGTGTTGGTGTCCACACCACAGGCTGAATGGCATCCACTCAGCATGGTACTGGCCATGTCCTGTTCAGAGCCAAGAGGTTGTAGAGGGGTGACAAGGTAGCTCGCCATGCCAGGGGCCATACCACACCTATGCCTCAGCAGGGCAGGTGGCCTCATTATAAACGAGGAAGGTCCTGGGATGAGACCCTGGTAGAGATCACAAGGTCATACTGGAAGCCCCCAAGGGGCAAGAGTGCCCCTCCCTGCAGAAGCACTTACAGAGTATCCAGGGCAGCATCTCTCACCGAGACGTCACTCTGCTCCATCATCTGAGCTATTTCACCTACAAGCAAAGAAGGAACATTAAGACGCCAGCAATGTCCCTGGGGACACGTGTGCCTTCTGCTTTGCCCTGAAGGAGGAAGCTTCGCTGTGTCTCCAGTGTGGGTGTGGCTGTCAGGCCCTCATCCTGGACATAGCAGCCGCCGGGCCTGTGCACTGGCCGGCCTCCCAGCAGCCTTTCCCGAGGCCCCCCCTCACCTGAGGTCAGCACACAGTCAGTGCCCCGAGAACCCCGAGAGGCCGTGGGGACATCTTCCTGAAGGGCCTCCAGCTTCTTGTCGTAGCACGGTGCCACGATGACATGGAAAATCTTGTCTGGGGACAGGTTCTGTGTAGAAAGAGCAAACCCATGATGGGGGCCGTGCAGAAGGGAGAAGGCAGCCAGAACGGAGCGGGCCTGGTGCTTTCCTGGGTCCAAGCTCCACCCCCACAGACCAAGTTCCTGAGCCGTGATGCCCCCAAGTCCACCCACAGTGTCACCGTCCTGCAGAACCACTGCCCGGACACTCACAGGGAGAGGCTCGCCACCTGTGTCCCCTGAACCAAGGGCACAATGATCAAACACGGTGACCACAGCTGCTGCTGGGCTGTAAATGAATGCACGGCCATTTCCCCACACCTTCCAGACGCTTCCCATGCAACCAGGCTGCCCCTCTCCACGTGCCCGGCTGAGCCAGAATCGCTGGCACCACGAGGAGCCGGCAGCTGAGTGACCGTCTTGGAGCCAGGTGACTGGGCACCCCCTCTCTCATCAGGGCGTGGGCCCGAGCCCGCTGTGCACACGCCTGCGGGAGCCTCCTCCACCCTCCCTGGCTCCCTGAGCTCCATCAGCACCTGTCCTCACATGGAAGCTTGTCACTGAACTGAACGCTTCCCCTGGGGAAAAGGCCAGCTTACCTGCCGTCTGGCAAAGTAGTCCTTCACCAGGGACCCCATGATCTGCTGGGGAGACTTGGCAGTGCAGAGGTGGGGGGTGACAGGGTGACCCAGCACCCGCTCAGCATAGCGGACCCAGCCTGAGGAGGGAAGGGGCCCATGTCAGCTCCTCATGGCTGCCCCACCGGAGTACAGCCGGGACACCTCATCTTCCGGCAGCCCCAGGTGTGCATGCCAGGCCCCCTCCATCAAGCCGCCTCTCTTCAGAGGCTTGGCCATGGGAACCCCAGGGGCATGTGTCACAAGACTGGAGGGTGCTGGGGATGGGTGCCTCCCTCGGCCCCAGATCAGAGAGGACAGAGCAGGAGAAAGGGAGGAGTGGGGGTAGCAGGCTCCCCAAAATTGAGAACAAGCTTGGAGGAGCAGCTCCGAGGCACTGTCCTGGGCAGCTTGGCTCCCGATCCACCCTGCCAGCTGCTGAGCCGCTCTCATAGCCGGGACAGGCAGCTGCAGCTCAGACAGGGGCCCACAGCCACCAGGCCCACAAGCTTCACCCATCTACTGGAAATTTAACAGCCCAGGAACTGCCCACTTTTAGGATGATGAAATACGAGAAACCCACACCCCCTCAAGCAACACAATAAACAGCACAACCTGCAGTGTGCCCACGGCATGCCCAGCGCGGCACGGAGCATCTCCCCTGAGCCGCTGACTCCCACCATGCCCTCTGAGTGCACCACTGCTGCCACGGTTCCCAGAGGGGATGCAGGATGGAGAGGCCAGTGGACCAGAGCCAACAGCTCAACCTGGAGGGGCTAGAGCTCGCCCCCTTCTCCCTCTGGGTACGGTAATGAGTGTCTGGTGACAGAGTGGCATGTATACCACAGCATCATGAGAGGGGTGGGGAAGGTGAGGAAACCTAGAGACAAGTTGCCCACAAGATCCCCAGGGCAGTCCACCTCCCCATGCCCACTCCTGTATGGAGGAGCAGCAGGCACCAGCCAGACAATCTCGTCTGAACTCAAAACACAGCCATCACCCGCTCGCCGGCCAGAGCACATGCAGGGAATGTCCATGGTCACCAGCAGAAGCCCCACAGAGAGATGCTGCTGCAGGATGGCTCCCCTCGTTCCCAACCTCTGCACGTGTGCATGGAATGGTTCATGTTAAAACAGAAAACTAGGGAATTCCCCAGCTGTCCAGTGGTTAGAGCTCACTGTTCTGACTGCCAGGGCCCTTGGTTCAATCCCTGGACAGTGTGGGATGGCCAAAATAAATAAATAAAAGGAAAAAGGAAAACGATCAAAGGCCGTGGAGCCTCTGGGGGCCCGAGGCCCCTCCCACCACAGGTCTGGCTTTGTAAGGGCCTGTGCACCATGGTCTCGGCGCCAGCACACACGGCTCTCAGGCAGACCCCAGCTGCAGGATGTGTGCCGCGAAGGCCTGGCACAAGATCAGGCAGAACACAGGTTGGTAGAGGCGAGGGCCCTGGGGGACCTCCTGGCTTGCAAGAGAAGAGGACCAAACAGGGATGAGGAGGGAGAACCAGGTCACAGGATCCACAGCACCTGGCATGAGACTGGAGTGGCAAGCCCTTTCCCAATGGTACCCCTGATCAGAACTTGCTACCAGCACCAGCCTGGGGCCTGGTCAGCCCTGCTGGCTGTCCAGCTTTGTGGCAGCGTGGCGTGGTCAGAGCACCCATATCCTGCTCTGTCAGACCACCCACCTCTTCTCAGGGACCCTCTCTGAAGGCAGAGAAGAAACCTGCTCCAAGAAGTACCTAGTGCAAGGTACCCACTCTATTCTCCTTGGATTGGAGAGATTACTTCCCACACTCCAGTTCAATGAGTGCTCCTGGCAGGTTCTCACAAAGCCCAAAGCCCTTGAGCACGTCCACAGCTGAGCAACTCAATATGCCCTTGCCCACCCACCCCCACCAGGCAAAGGTGCACTGGTGAGGTGGCACTCCATCGGCTTGTGGGCAGCAAGGGCCCACCCAGATGTCCCTGTTCCAGCCAGGATGTGCTGCCCTCCAAGCAGTCTGAGGAAGCACTGCTGGGACACAGGGACCCTGTGTGCGGAAGCTGGTGAGTCAGTCCAGGGCCATCCACAGTCCGATTCTGCACAACAGGTCAGATCATCCGACCTTGATGCTGCTTTAATTTCTCTAAGTTGTCATAGGAAAGCAAAACGTCAGCGCCAAATCCTAGAAAAGGGTTAGTTTCGAAGCAGATCTCACCTCATCTCCCTGAATTTGAGAGGGGGCATAAACCTGAACAGTTACAGCTTTGACTGGCGTAGCTACAAAGAGTTCCTGGAAGAGAAAGCCTTATCATCTGAAAGCCCTGAAGAGCTCAAGGAGGCCACTGAAAGCAGCAAATTCCAGGCTGGTGGAGGAGGGACAATCGGTGTGCAGCAGCAACAGGTGGCCCACGTCTCCACCAGCGCTGCCCTCACTCCTTGGACAGAGGGCATGTGCTTTCTGCAAGAATCCACCACCTGCCTACTACCCACATCAGCTGTGCTAGTTCCTGCCAGGAGTGGAGGCTTCCGTTTAGGCTCCATTCAACAGGGCTGCTCACATAAGGGATCCATCACTATCTGCTGGGACAGTGTCAGGACGGCATAGGAATCCCTGTGATCCTGCTGACTGGAGGGTGGACGGGAACTCTGGAATCACTGCTCCAGGGGCACAGGCTGAGCTTGGGTCATTTTATGCTGCCTCTTTCTTGGGTGGGAGGGACTGAGCCAGCTGAGTGTGCCACTGAGTGAGGGTCCTGCAAGGAGCCGGTGCTGGAACTCCAGGGGCAGGGGTACCACTGCAAGGCCTCTAGGGCGCTGGGCGGTTTCCCGAGGCCTCAGCTGTGCAAACCTACTCTTAAGCAGCTGTGCAAACATCTACAAGGACATAAACACAAAAGTGAACACCATGGTCCAGCAAACTGTGCATTTAGTCAGTTTATGTGACTGGATCCAGTCACTGCCTGACATGCCTGGAGAACTGGGAGCATCCCCCTGGGGGTTATCTTTCCAGAAGGATAAGCCCCACCTGATGCTGAGCATCTCCTGCCAGCCTGTGGGCCACTGAAAAACACGCTGTTAATGAGTCAATCCATGTGCCTCTTAGACAGATAGCAAGTTTCCTCTCCATGGTTTTACAAATGGATGGAAAGTATTTCCAAATTCTAAGCAACCATACATCAACATTCCATCTTATTAACTCGTAGTCCCAGTGACTGATGAGTGACATATAAAATGCTAGAAAAATTTGGAACCAGGAGGGATAAACTGAGATGAGAACTGTGAGCAAAAACCCAAGATTAAGTAGACCACAACTCTCACAGACCTGATTTAGAAATAATTTTTCACTAAATGTCACTAAATGTCACCAGTATAGTACTGCCTTCCTTCCCTTATGCATCATCTTTAGAATTTTCTTATTCCAAAACATTCTATTTTTTCAGAATTAAAAAACCTGTGATAAAATTTCTCTACTTCAGATATCAGGCTCTATATAATAATTAAAGATTTGTTTAAAAAGTGCTCCAAGATGGAATCTAGTATTAATGTAAAATAATTTTTTTAAGTAATATTTTTTATCATGTAATTTCTACTTAAGCTGGCAAAGGATCCATGGGTGTTCACCATATTACCTATAATTGTTTGGATGTTTGAAATACATCATACTTTGAAAAGAGATTTATTCTTAACATAGGATATGTCTGTCTCAAACTTCAGAAATATGGACAAATGAAGATAAGCAATTAATACTCGACGTTAGGTTTCCCCATTAAATCACCCAGAATTAATAAATATGTTGGTCGACATAAAACTACTCAAGGCCCAAACTCCTCTTCGAGACCCACTGCCCCTGACCTTGCCCACTGCCTAGGCCTGCGCCCAGACGCAGACTGATGTGAAAGGGCGCGTCAGGCCCTGCAGGCCTGGCAGCAGCCCCGTGCTCACCGGGACAGGCAGAGGTCAGCATAGGTAACGCGGGCTCTTCCTCATTGTGCTGGCGGAATCGACGCACAAACTCTTTCTGACTCTCCAGGATGCTGAAATCTGCAGCGATGGTTGTATCGAAGACATAATGCACCCCTGTGGGGAAGAGAGGCGCGTTGGGCTCCATATCACAGAATGTGAGATCGACCCTCAGTTTGCCTCGAAGACAAACTAAAAGGGCATACTCCACAGACACTGCTAGATGCCCAAGTGCAGGACTGTGCCCTTTGCTCTCTCAAACAGCAGCACGTATCACTTTTCACAATAAAGCATATATTCTCCTGCTGCTTCTTTTCCCTTTACATCTATATTTACATAAATACCTTGCCATATTCCATATACAAATTAATGTAATTTTACAGGGTATTATTCTTCCAGTTCACTGGCTAAATTAAACTCCAGTCTGCAATAGTCTTTGATAGCTCTAAATAAAATGAGTAAACTGGCTGAGCATAGCTTTATAATGGTCTTAATTAACTACTATGTTGATTTTTAACTTGTCTTTCTCTCTCTTTTAATATTTGATTTGGCTGTGTCATGTCTTCACTGTGTCATGCCAGATCTTTCTGTGGCAGCGCATGGACTTGCTAGTTGTGCTGCACCAGCTCAGCAGTTGCTGATCGAGGGCTCCAGGGCACATGGGCTTAGCTACTCTGAGGCACATGGGGTCTTAGTTCCCTGACCAGGGACCGATCCTGAGTCCCCTGCATTGCAAGGCGGATTCTTAACCACTGGACCACCAGGGAAATCCCTAACTTGTCTTCTTAATAAGTGTATGTTTCTTTGTTTTTAAACTACAGCTGATATACAGTATAAGGTACAGATGGGCAAAGTAGTGGTTCCCAATTTTTTTTTTTCAGCCTCTAAGTTTTTATTAACATGAGTTTCCAAAAACAAGAATCCATATTAGTGTGGGGAGTGAGGGTGGGAGGAGGGGGAAGGGCAGGAAGAAGGAATTCTGCTCTATTGGTAATAAAGCTCCAGGTTCATCCCATCATGGATTTCATAGTCCCCCAGAGACACGTGGTCCTTAAAAACTGTGTACCACTTCTTCAATACGATCTTGTCCCAACGGGTGCCAGTTTGGGCTGCAATCAGCTTCTTAAGGTCCCCGATGGTGTCATCTGTATTGCACTTAATGCGCACCTTCTTCCCCAAACGGTCATTGCAAACAACCTCGATCATCCGGGCTCAAACAGCCTGGATGAAGCAGACGCCACAACCTCCTCGCGCTGCTGCTGAGCCCAGACCAGAGTCGCCACTCAGTTCACAATTTTTTAAAGTTATGCTGCAGTTATAGTTATTACAAAATATTTGCTACAGGGAATTCCCTGGTGGTCCAGTGGCTAGGGCTTGGCGCTTTCACTGCTGTTGCCCAGGTTTAATCCCTTGTCAGGGAATAAGATTCTGCAGGTCTCATGGCATGGCCCCCCCAAAATTTGTTTTTTTTTGCTATACTCCCTGTGTTGTACAATATATCCCTGTAGCTTATTTTATACCTAAAAGCTTGTACCTCTTAATCTACCACCTCTATCACGTCCCTCCACTCTGCCCACTGGTAACCACTAGTTTGTACTCGACATCTGTCTTCTTCTCTTTTGTTACATTCACGAGTTTATTGTATTTTTCTTTAGATTCTACATGTAACAGATATCATACAGTATTTGTCTTTCTCTGTCTGACATTTCATTTGGTATCATATCCACCAAGTCCATTTATGTGGCTACAAATAAGTTCTAAATATTGGAAAATAAGCCTAAGACAAAAAAATATACTTTAAATAATTACAATAAAATAAATGGAACAAATAATTTTAATATCTGCAACCAGGTAAACCTTAATAGCAGCCAGTTATTCTTAAAAAGAAATATTATATCAAGTTAAAGAGTTCCCTTAAAAAAAATCAAGTTTCACTGTGGATATATTCTATTAACATATAACATCCAACTAGTCTTAAAAAATCCCCCATCCCCTCCAAAATAGGGCCTTTCACTATGAGAAGGCAGAGCATTTTAAAACTTTGATCTCTGGTAAAATTCAGCTAAGCTCAGGCTCTTTAAGATTAAAAGCATGAGGGATGACTTAAGGAGTCCTCGTCTGCAGCTGCAGTTTTGGCTGTGGCACGCTGTGCACCAACAAACAGCTCTGCACGGAAAGCAACACGCAGCAGCGAGGCAGGCAGGCTGGCGCGAGGACATTTAGTCTACGTGTCACTTTATTGCTAATCCCAATGTGTTTACATCTTTAAAAAGCCATTGAGGAACAACAAAAACTCTTACTTGGCAAACGGCTCAAGTTTTCCTCTTCAGAGCCCACCTGCGGGACACTTTAAGTCAGGGGGAAGTGAGAGTGTGACATGACAGACTAGCCAGAAGCGTTCTTACCGCCCTTTATGAGGCAGTATTACTCGAGCACTCGTTCACATTTGAGTCCTCAGGTACTGAAATGACGAGCTTTCTCTCTTCACACAAAGGACNCATGACAGACTAGCCAGAAGCGTTCTTACCGCCCTTTATGAGGCAGTATTACTCGAGCACTCGTTCACATTTGAGTCCTCAGGTACTGAAATGACGAGCTTTCTCTCTTCACACAAAGGACACAGTCCATTCCCTTCCTGCTCTGCTCTTCAGAGAGTGTCCTGGCAAACCAGATGCCAATCATCGCAGACATGATCCTCTATCAGATAACTGTAACCCCTGTGAGCCAAGCAACTCGACACTGCTGGGCAAGTGTAGGTCCCAGGTGTCCCCAGCTACATGCCCTAAGATGGTCATTTGCTGTCCCCAGAGGGGCCGGCACTGGCTGTAAGACAATACCCCATCTACATGGCAAGAGGGTAAGTGACACCTGCCTACCATGCGTGGGTCAGGGGCATGGTCCTCTTACGTTCCACAAGACTCTCAAAGAAGTTCTTATCTATCCTGTGCCCTTGAAAATTGAACTCTAGAGATAAAAAGGGCAGATAAAAACTCAAATTATAAATTTGAATTATACCAAATCTATTTGCTATAAACAATATCAAAAGGCAGCTCACCAAGACTTTTGAGGAAACCACAGAGCCTTCTGGATGCATCAGTCACACTGAGGCTGAATTTAGCAGCAAAATAAGGCAAAGACTGAGGACACACTGACACTGCCAGCACCTTGTGCTTTGAGGTATCACATTTCTATGAGAAATAGAGAAGAACATTGTGTATGTGGTGATTACAAAAGGAGTGAAAGTAAGACACTTTTATGAAAAGTCTAGAACAAACCGACTGTAACAGATGCCCAATGGAAAGACTAATAAAATACACAAGATACTGGCAAGCGTAATTAAGGAAAAAGGAGAAAAAAAATTAAAATGAAAAATGAGACATCCCAAGAGATTTTTTGTCAATTTTAAGAACAATGTTAAGTAAAAAATATTGAATATATACATCAATATTACATATAAAGGCAAATATCTTGATAAAATAAACACATTTAAAAGGAAAAATAAAAATTACATACCCATAAATAACTGAAACGATCCATAACAATGAAGTTAAGTGAAAATGGGGTCCCAAGGTCTGTCCCCAAGAGGCCTCAAGCCCAGGTCACTTAGTGGTAAATTAAAATTTTAATTCCTAGATAATTCTCATCTTCTATGAACTCTTCTAATAAATACCAAACAAACAAATGTGAAACCAGCCTATCAACACCCTGAAACCAAAACCAGATGCTGGCAGTTCAAAAAATCCCTAGAAAAATATGAACAAACTGAGTTCAGAGGTGTGCTGACTCATCACAGACATGCAGGATGCAACCCTGGGGTGCAGTGTGAGCGAGTATGTTGGGCATTAGAAAGTCAGCAGTGGGATCCCCTGACCTGGGGTCACAGAGAAGATGCAGGATTATCATGACAGAGGCTGTTCAGGTCAGACATCACCTGCACATTAGGAAAAGTGGAAACTGGGACAGCAGTGTTCAGTGGCCACCATCCACTGCAGTCTACCTATGGACTGGCCACAGACAGGACAGTCTGGTCCTGTCCCCCTACCCCTGCCTAGCAGCTCAGGTTAAGACAATGCTGAGGCTGCCTGTCCCCTCTGGATGGGACCCCACCTTCACGTGATGCCTGGGAAGCCCACACCTGACAGGGCCATCAGGGCATCAACCTGGCACACACTGACCTCCAGCTCTCTGACAAGCTCCTATGATACCCAAGTCAGCAAGGCGTGGTTTCTGTGGTTTGTGACCAAGAGCATCCTAATGTAAATTTGGAAGCGGGAACAAGAGAGTACAAGTTTCAAATGCTAATGAAGAGGGTGGTCTGTCCCCAGCTTGAGCAGTCAGACTTGGCAATTCAAGTACTTCTGTCTGACACCCTGTTCAGGGAATTTCAAGGGTTCACCCCTCACTTCAATCTCACTTAAATTTCACCTCCTCTAAGGGAGCTGATCTGTGACCAAGCGGGAATCAGCCTGAGCCCCAGAGCTCAGGAACCCCAGAGCCCCAGGACCAGCAGAGAAATAGGAACTGCTTTTTCCTGTGGCAGTCCTCAGTGACTGACTCAGCCAAACCCAGAACCTCTTCCATTCCTAAGCTTTCAGTTTCATAAAATAACTAAGCATTTCCTTTTTAGGCTAGTTTAACTTGGGTACCCATTTTCTATAGCTGATATGCTGATTGGTGTGAGTATCTACGTCTCTTTAATAGCAAAAGACTGTAAAAATCTACTTAATAATAAAACTTCACCAGCATTCCCAGTGACATCAGAAACAAGATGTTAGTATTATTTCTACCACCAATGTAATTTCAGGTTGATTTAAAGGTCCCATACCATACCATCAGAAAAAATAAAATGTATACAGGTTGGAAAGAATGAAATTTGTAATTTGCAGTCAGTACACCCAGAAAGCAACCCGGGCCTCATGTGGCAGCTGCACTGCCCCGGGGGCCGGAGCACCCAGCGCCGTGTTCAGAGCCCGTACAAGCACTTCCTGGAAAGCAGCTGTGAGGGCTGCTCCCCAGGTCAGACTGAGGGCAAACCAAGACATGCTTTTCAGCCTCGTCTGCCCCCGCTTCTCCGTCTTTCCCTTTCACCCGTCTTCCTGAGTGACTTCGGGGAGTTCCATCTGCACAGGGGTCTGCAGGAATGAGCTAATGGACTGTGGCCCTAACCTCTGAGAAAGCCCCAGAGGCAGAGGAGCAGCAGCTCGGCCACCACGCCATCCCATGACCAAGCATGCGGAGGCCTCCCCCAAGCTAGGGGAGCCTGGCTGGTGGTGCCAGCCACAGCTGCTGCCCACATCAGTGAGGGAGTGTGACTGTGGGTGGGGTTTTATTGGCAGGGAGAGGCCGCGGAGAGGGTCAGCTATCACAGGGGACACAAGCCAGGGCCAAGATGCGCTCCCCAAGTCCCAGCAGAGGCCTCAAGCCTCACTTTGACCTCCACCCACCTCTGGTGCCAGTGAGTGCCCAGGAGGCCCTACCTTGTTAAGGTTCAGAACTTGGAAGAAGTCCTTGGCGTTCTGCTGGGAAACCTGGATTCCTTCCTCCGCAGACACACAGCTGTCACAGGCCAGGCAGTCACTCAGAAATATCTTGGCATCAGCCAATTTATGGAATTCTCCCTTCTGTGAAAGAAAAGATGATGTTATGGCTTGATTCTTCAACAGAAACTCTTTACTACTTGCTTCTTTATGAAAAGTTATCAGCACAAGCATAATGCAGAAAACTGCACAAATTCTCTGAGGGTCCCATAGATGGCAATGTGTGGGGAGTGTACTGGCGCCATCAAATGCAGCTTCTCCTGCCCCCATATCTTTCCCTGCTGCCTCTGGAGGCTCCTGCGTGGGTCTGCTCTGTTCTCCCCGATGAGCTCGCCTAGTCCTTGGACTCTCCTCAGAAGCCTCCCTGACAGGCTTAGAACTGGAATAGCTCACTGCTGACCTGTGGGCATCAGGGTTGTCACGCCATCCAAGTCTGAATTGGGACATTCAAACTCACATCTCAGTGACTCTGTTCCCCTGGATACCAAGATGACAACCCTCGGCTGTGTCGTCTTCTCCTGGCTGCACCTGCGCCCACTCACTCCCTGCAGCCCACTCCCCAGGCTGAGGTCCACCAGAAGACAAGCCACACCTCTGCTGCTAGAGATCCCCTTCCCCATCACTCTCCCCACTCTAACTTCCAGTCACCCTGGCCCTCCTTGCTCTGAGTCTCCCTGAGGGAAACACTCCCTAGAGTCTGGTTCACTCCTCAGACCCTCATGGACACCTGCCAGAACAGCTCTGAGCAACCCCTGGCACCTATGTGGTGGCTCTTTTCCCTGAAATGCAAGCTCTGAGGAAAGAACCCTGTCTCATGCCCTTCTGTTCTCTGACATCCCCTGTATACAGAAGGTGTCAATAAATATGTGGTGGATGAACATACAAATATTCTGAGGCCTATTAGAGCCCTTGCAACAAATTAATGGACTCTCCTGACGGTTGTACCCTGCTCTTTCAAACATGACTTGGTAAGCGAGGACTCGGGGGGTAGGCTGGCCCTCCTGTCCACAGCAGCGCCCGCCAGGAACGCACGCTGCCACCTCCCTCCCTCCCCAGGTGCCTGTGTCACTGTGCAGTGCTCATTCTGGGCCCCTGTTATGCTGCAGGTGCTAATTCACGAGGTATGGATGGGAGGCCAGAGTCTGCCCTTCTAACAAACCCTGAGGGGGGGCCAGAGCAGCTGCTCCAAGGGTCTGAAGCACGTGGCCTGGCACACAGCTGGCGTCTAATAGATGCTGTTGAGCTGCACTGAGAGTTCTGCCTCCGCTGCCCCTGCAGAGGTGCCCAGGACAACACTCTGACCTGCAAGGGGAAGCAGAGCTTCCTTTCAGCCTGCTAGCCACATGTCATGCTCATCCTCCTAGAGCACCTCATGGGCCAGGTCTGGTTCCTTCCCGCCTGTCACAGTCCTTCCTCTTTTTCTTGTTCCATCCTAATCATGGGCATTTTCTACGGAAGCCTGTCCATCTCTCCTTCTCTCCAATTAGCCACATTTCTCAGAGCAGTTATCAGGCCCCCACTCAACCCCTCCAATCTCTGCCCCTAGGGAATTCTCTCCCTCCCAATATCCAGTCTGATATCCTGCAAAGCTCGTGTCCACGCAGCTCAAACTGCACTCTTCTCCCTGTTCTGCACCTCTTTTCTTGCTTCCGCCACTCTGGCTGGTCCATCCAGGCCTACCACCCTCAGCCTCCCCAAGGAGCTTCCTTCCTATTCTTCCCCTACCCTAGCCAGCTTAAGCCACCAGCCCTAAGACATGAGTCCGATTTGTCTCCTTACATTTCACACCGTCGCTGTGCCTGGTGAGCCTTCACCCCATTCCTGCACCCACCACCCTCAGGACCCACTCCAGTAGCCACCTTCCTGATCTGTTCATCCTATCAGGGCGTCCGCCCACTGTGCTGGAGGGGTGCCCACTTAAGCTATGAACACACATTATCTCCCAGCCACCATGGCTCTTGGAGGGAAGTAACCCAACTCCCCATGTCACTGATAAGGAAATTGGGGCTCCCAGGGTGAGATGTCTGTCCAAGGCAGTGCGGACAGAGGGCAGGCGTGGGAGGCCCTGGGCCGGCTGCTCTGGGGCTGCAGAGTCCTCGGTGCTCCCTGCCTCTCTTCTGCCTCAGTGTCCCAGGCGCTTGTCTTATCCCCTGCTGCTCACCAAGCCCTACAGTCACCAGAGCACAGAGCAGAGCTGGCACACGAGAGGACCAGACCAATGCCTGTCTGACTCAATGTTGTATCAGGACTACTAGACTCAAGAAGACACCTGCTGCTTGCTTCTCCAATGTTGCCAATTCTCCTTTTCTAAAACCGGGACCAGAACTTTTTAAGGGAAGGAACCTTAACCTCCCAGCACTGCGTCCTCCTCTATAAAACGAAGACAACTGTAGGGCTTACCTGAAATGCTCATTCTAGGCACGGCATGAGATCACATGTATAAAGCACTTTCTCGACTGCCTAGCTCAGGGTATGTATCCAATAAATGTAAACCGTCACTACTAGCTAAGAAAAACTTAAAAACTCAAGAACTGAGAGAAGAAACCATTAGAAAAATAAAACTTACAGAATCAAGAAATCCAAGTTATTTTATAAATTCCTACCTAAAGCCCTGTCTTTTCGCTAAAAAAAAAAAAAAAAAAAAAAAAAAAAAAAAAAAAAAAAACAAAAAACAAAAAACAAAAAACCAGCGGTTTAAATGTTACAAAACTATTTCGAAAAAAACAGCCAAGGATGACATTTTGCCTTGTTCCTAACTTGGTATGCTTTGGCTTCGTGTATTCTGAGAAGACAAGTTCTTACCTTGAAGATCGTGTGCCTCCAACTGACCTGCATGTTTGGCTTCTGGCATGGGTTTTTTAGCCCCTTCTTGATTTTTTGATTATTTTTTTTCTTGGAAGCAATGATGTACCTGGTGACATGAGCCCCCAAAGAGGAGAAAAATAGCAGTAGCTGTTTACTCCAGGTTGACACAAGAACTGAAATACTACTTGCCTCTCCATTCTCCTGGGCTGGACTTGGTACATCGACTGATGCATTCTCTTGGTCATCGGTTTTTGTTTTTTTACTACATTCCTTGAAAAGGCAAAGGCACATATAAAAGAACAACTTTTAATCTAATTTTAAAAATTGTATGTACTAGCTGACAAATTCATTTCATATCTAGAAACCTTTTCTACAGAAATAGAAGCACTTATAATTGTGGACACACACACCCATACACATCTCTGTATCTGCACTGTTTGCAGGAAATGAAAACTAGAAGCAATGTGGTCTCTCATGACAGGTAAATTGGTGCCCGACCACCTGGACGCTTCTATATTTAAAATACAACAAATTAGAACTGTGTGTACTGCTCAGAAAATGTATCTCTTGTATAATATTAACTGAAAGAAAGAGCAAATGATCGAACAATATTTATGACAGGATCGAATTTTGAGATAAACAGAAAAGTCCCTGTGCATTACAGAGTAGAAACAAGTGGATAAGGCTTTCACAGTTACTATGGTTACTCAGGTGGCAGGAGGTCCAGCCCCCGTCTCCTTTTTGCACTTCTGTATCGTTTTCGTTACTGTCAAACACGAAAGTATTTTGGTGGCATAAAATCCCTTAAAATCACTTTTGATCACCGTGTCCCTCATTCACACCAAGGACGGTGTTTGCAACGACTGCGGACTGGTAGCTGATGTTGCTAGGCTTTTTTGGCAGCTTTTGCCTTCTAAAGTACTTTGAAAGGGTATATCTGCGCCCCGACATCACGGTCGCCTCCGGTACAGGGGAACAGGAACCGGACGCGTTGGTGGCCCACCCCCAGCCGCCTCCAACCCCGGAAAACTCGAGCTGCGGGCCAGCGCCCAGAGGTTCTGATAGGGAGGCAGAGGCGCTCGGAGCTGCGAAGCTCCCGAAACCCCCGAGGCTCCGGGCTCCGCGAGCTCAGGCTCCTCCGCGCCCCGGGCCCTGCCCCCAACCCGGCCCCGGACCAAAAGCGCGGAGCCCACCTTCCGTGTGCAGTGCTCACACTTCATCTGGAGCCAGGCGGGCAGGTCTGGGTGCGCAGCCTGAGGAGAGCACCAGGAGACGCGGTCACCGCCGCCTGCCGCCCTTTGTTGTCGTCGCTCCAGTGCTGCCCTACCCCTAGTGGCTCGGCTCGACCAATGAAAGCTCTGGGAGCGGATGCGCTACAACCCTGAACCAATAGGAGCGCGGAGAGAGCGGTGCGGCTCCATGCTACTGGGCTATACCTAGGCCAATGAGAACGAGGGAAAGGGGCAAATCGGGACCTAGAGCCAGTCGGAGCGCGCAGGGGCGGAGCTTGGCCCGCCCCGTCGGGACCTTGCGGAGGCAGTGGCCGATTCTCCCCTGGGTTTCCGCGGCGTGTGAATCTGGCTGCGGCTCTGAGTGGCCTAGCTGACGGACCCCAGGGGGCGGGCCGAGATCGTTACCAGGACGTTCTGGTGCGTCAGCTCAGCGCCAGACCCGCGCCACCTTCCAGGTTTAGATTGGTAGAGACGGCGCCGCCCTGGTCCGCCGCCATTTCCGCCCCGAGGCGCGTCACGTATGTCCGGCGCGGAGGCAGTGCGCACGCGCGGCGGGTCGGGAGCACGTGGCGCCATTCGGAGCCGGTGGCGCCGTCGGGAGCGCGAGGAACGTGTGAAGCGTAGGTCGCCGAACCTCCGTCCCTCCGCTGCCGCTAGCAAATCAAGGCGGATACGGGACCAAATGATGACGTTGACCTTTGTCCCCTGGCAACATTTTATGTAGTTAGTGCATGGTCATCCCGGCACCATCGGAAATGAGAACTGCGCCAGGAAAATAAAGCACTAGGGTGTGTCCATCAAAAACCAAGCAGTTAACGGGAATCTCAGAAATGGGCATTTTCTTTCTCCTCACCTGGGGGTAGGGGGGGGTCACAGGTCAACAAAACATTCGAGGGTATTCCAAGTCCCCAAACCTTAAAATATTCCCCCTTTAAAACTTTTTTTTTTTTTTTTTTTTTTAGTTTTTGGTGCATACCGCTCTTTTACAACTTGCTGTCAGTTAAATTCAGGAGGTCCTATCTGGCTGCCAGATTAATAAATTATTCAAATCTGTGTCAGCACCTCCTCTTGTTAAACATTTTCAAGGGACTTCCATGGTGGTTCGGGTGGTTAAGAATCTGTCTTGTAGTGCAGTGGGTGCTGGCTCCATCCTTGGTCAGGGAACTAAGCCCAAGTGCCCCAACTACTGATGCCCATGCACCGCAACTGGGAAGTCTGTGTGACTCAAGGAAAGATCCTGGATGCCACAACTAATACCCAAGGCAGCCAAATTAACAAATTACTTTAAAAAAAAATTTTCAATTAGCAACTTACAAGAATTTAGGTTGTCACTTATATTTTGTAAATGTTCTAAAAGTGTAATGCAATATCATCATGTGTGGAAAAGGCAAGTTACAATTATTTAATTTCATCAATCCCAGGTGGCTCAGATGGTAAAGAATCCACCTGCAATGCAGGAGACCCCTGGGTTCTATCACTGGGTTGGCAGGATCCCCTGGAGAAGGGGAAGAAAGTGAAAGTCGCTTGGTCCTGTCCAACTCTTTGTGACACCATGGATTATACACAATCCATGGAAGTCTCCAGGCCAGAATACTGGAGTGGGTAGCCTTTCCCTTCTCCAGCAGATCTTCCTGACCCAGGAATCGAACCGGGGTCTCCTACATTGCAGACAGATTCTTTACCAACTGAGCTATCTATTCCATGAACAGAGAAGCCTGGTGGGCTGTGTGTAGTTAGTGTCCAGGTTTCCCCAAACGTCTCTTCATTTTAGTTTCAATCTGTATGTAAATAAAGTTCATTGTTTTATTAGTCTGTATTTCAATTGGTTTGTGTGTTTCTTTCTCTTACAAAAATTTTGTTTCTAAAAATAAAATTAGTCTCACTTAGTTAAATATTGTTTAGGGAATTCCCAGTTCTAAAGTTTTGGGGGTTTGTTTGTTAAATCTGCAGGTTCCATTCACATACCCCATCTCTCCTTGCATATCATTGTTAAAAAATCAGGTTGCTCCATGGACGGAGGAGCCTGGTAGGCTACAGTCCATGGGGTCGCAAAAAGGCTACACAATTGAGCAATTTCACTTCTCAGATTGTTTGACTGCAGGGTTTTCAGCAATTGCTGACTGCATCCATGTGGAGTTCTTTAGCATACTCTTGTTCTGAATTTTCAGTAAAGCGTAGCAGGATCTTAGTTCCTGGACCAGGATCAAACTTGTATCCCCTTTATTGGGAGCAGAGAGTCTGAACCATTGGACTGCCAGGGAAATCCCAGGGAAAGACTACTTCCTAGGTGGTGGTGTGAAATCCCTCAGGCAGTTCTAGTGCCTGTCCTTTTGTGATGTTAATTTGCAACCATTAATGAGATGGCCTAGTTTCATTAGGTTGATGTTTTAATCCTACCATTTCTTCATTTATTAGCAGGACTGCTTCCATAATGAGAAATTTATCTTACTCACTATTTGGTTATTCTGTTGAATTCTTCTGACAACACTGATAGTCTCTTTCCTTTTTGATACATTTCCTTGTACATTTCCTACTTTAGACCTGACATCTATATCACTGGAGGCACTCTGCTACAAAACCACTTAATGGGTTGCTGGGAAAGGTGGGGGATACTGGGTGCAGCTGGCTAGTGTGTACTATAAGAGCTGAACACTGGAGAAGTCCTGTGCACTGTGGATCCAGGACAACAGAACCAGACCGAGAAGAGAAACTCTTCCTCTTGAAGCGTCTCTCGCACCTTCCATTGACAAACCTTAACATCATGCCAGAGAGCACAGGAAAAAGGCTCAGATGCATTTTCATAGAACAGGCAATGCAGTTTGAATTTAAAACAAAGATGTAATGTATTGATAACTGGTAAAATGTACAGATTTTATTCACTCAGTCCCCTATTTATGAATTTTGTATTTATTTCCAGTCTTTTGCTCTTACCTATATACAGCAGGATTTTAATCAAATCAGACATCATTTGTTCTCTCATTTAACATTAACAGAAAGCCAGTGTAGGCTTCATTTTTAAATGGCTTGTACTCGGGTACAAAAAGTTATGTCAAGAACTGTAATGCAAAGTGGAATTTTCTGGGTATCAATTCAGTTCTCCCTAAATTCTAAGGAATTAAGATCACAAGCAGAGAGGACTTAAAGGAGGTGCTAAGCAATTCAAATGGACCTTCAAAATGGCATGTGATGGGACTTCCCTAGTGGTCCAGTGGTTAACAATCTACCTTGCAGTGCAGGGGAGACAGGTTCGATCCCTGGTTGGGGAACTAAGATCCCACATGCCTGCATGCCTCAACTAAGACCCAGCACAGTCAGATAAATATTAAAAAAAAAAAAAGATGGCATGTGATCTTACCACAGATGGCATTTCAAGGAAACGGAATGTGAGATGAGGCATCAGGTCAGGGAACCTGCCACATTCAGGCAGAACCTACTTTTGTTACAGCTGAGAGCATAAGTTCTCTGGGTGTGGTTCCCAGAGCAGCAGGCACCAGCATGCGCACATTTCAAGCCCCATCCATTGCTGGAACAGGTCCAGTGGTCTGTGTTTCAAGAGCTCCACCAGGTGATTCTGAACCACAGGCGGAGAGTACATAGAGACTGGTGAAACAGAAAAGTCATCTCCAAATTTTTGACATCGTGCCTATATTGGTAAAACAACTAGGGTTATGCATACCTATGTGTGTATATTTCTTTATACACTGTGTATATATTTTATGTAAATTATGGGACACATGAGAATAGACATAAAAAGTAGGAATACAAGCTCTATTATGTTCTTCCAGCACTCCATAGATCATCTTGACCATCCCAGTTTGGAGGCAGTGGCTGTGTGGTGGAGGCTCTCCTGTTTCAGGTAGGGTCCTTCTCTGTTGGGAAATAGGAAAATCAGAGTCCTGCTTGGGGCCTAATCTAGGGGCCGTGGTGGTACATAGTGAGCGTTTTGGTGGAGTGGAGCAGGGAGGCCACCTAAGCGGCCATTTCAAGGTCTTCCTGGAAAAACTGTCTCTTACTACAATCCTCCTTCCCCAGCACTGGGGCAAGTTTAGGAGGAGCAGAAAAACTGCCCTCACGAAAATGTGAATTTCCCAGCTACACCGAGTTTTTTTGGGGTCAAGGATCTCTAGATCTCCCCTACCCTCCTCCACAGTGCCTTGCAGCGCTGTGCAGATTTTTCAACCTGTTGACACTCTTACTGGGTTCGCAACTGAATCTGCAGAGCACGTTGGGAGAATTCACATTTTTACAATAATTTTCCAAACCATGAACAACTATGTAGTTCTATTTTAATGCTTCCCACTAAAGTTTTTACAGAATCTACCATAATGTTTGTACGTGTCCGTTGTGAGTTTAAATACATACTTCACGTATTCTTACCATCTTAAATGGCTGTCTCGTGCTTACAACTTCACCTACCTCTGCGGATCTTCTAAAGCTTGTAACCCCAGGCGCTCTGTGTTGAGCGCCGGGGCCCGCAAAACCCATGGCAGCCTCCGCAATCTCTACTGATTTGCAGCCAACCTTATTCTAGAGCCCCGCCAGTCCTCTCCTCTCGCGGGCTGAATCGAGGCCCCGGAAGTCAGGAGGCGCGCGCCCCGCCGCGCCCCGCCCCCGAGTCCGGAAGCCTACTGTCCCATCCGCCCCCGCGGGTCCGGAAGTCAGCTGGTCCCTCCCCCAGCTCCGGAAGTTGGCGGCCGGCGGGTTTTGAAGTCCAGAGGTCCCGCCCGTCCCGCCTCCGCGCCTGCAGGTTTGTGTCCGCGTTGAGCATCCGGGCCGTGCCACGGTTGCGAGTTGGGGGCGCGGGGCGTGCTGGGGGGCGGCTCCCGCAGCCGGGGTCCTTCTGGGAGCGCGGTCTTGGGACTCGGCCCGGGTCGATGCCCCGGGGGCTTGGTAATGCTCGAGGCGAGGAGGGTGCACAGTGTGGCTGCAAGGGTCAGTGAAGAGTGTCCTCAGTGGCCCGTCCAGGTGACAGGAGTGATCTCGCCCCGCGGGCGGCTGAGTCGCGCGTGGAGACAGGCGAAGCCAGTCAAGGGGAGGGAGCCTGGGATATCGCAGGATCTTGGCTTCGTGTGTGTGAACTGAATCCATTCTTTGTTGTCAGAAATTTGACTTAACTTTACAGAGAATACCTGAAAAGCGACCCAGAACGGGGACCCTGGAGCCAGCATTTTGAATGTATTGCATCGTGCAGGGAAGAATTCTCCACGTGTGGAAGATCAATCCCTTTTGCTGACTTGTTCATTAAGCTGGTGGTCCAGACCGTCCAAACCCTGCTGGGTGAGGACTGTTGTCTCCGAAGCTGCAGGAGCATACTTTTTCGGTCAGTGCCTCTCATCAAACCATGATGAGACTTTCACTTCTCTTTTTCATAGGCCTGTACAGGGAAATGAGGGTGTTCTGGTACGTTGTGATAGGGTGCCAGAAGTTTGAAGGCTGCTGGGGGCTAACGGTTTCCAAGAGACTGAGGTTTCCAGTTAGGAAGTGTACAGGTGATGATCA